GAGTGAAGCATTGCAATCTGCAACTTCACTGCTAGATACCACTAAATCCTACACACTGGTCCTTTAAAGATCTAAAATTCAGTTCAGGGACTGAAGATTCCTAATAAATATATAATTTCTGTGACATGCTTCACCCACAGACCCTACGGAGTCCACCCCGTCAGTGCTGGACAGTTTCCAGTCCGGTGAGGTGCAGGTGGGGCACAGCGTGGAGCTGCCTTGCATCGCATCCGGTTACCCAAACCCCACCATTCGATGGCTAAAGGATGGTCGGCCATTACCTGCAGACTCCCGCTGGACGCGGCGCATCACCGGCCTCACCGTTTCTGACTTGAGACTTGAGGACAGTGGCAACTACATCTGTGAGGTCACCAACAGCTTTGGCTCCAAGGAGGTGACAGGTCACCTCAACGTCATAGGTAAGTAAAGAACTGAAGAGAGTATAGTAGAGTGATAAAATATGTTCCGTGCCCACCACTCTCCTCAGCTCTTTGCTACAGTGACAACTACAGATGGAGCAAAAGAGTGAGATGGACGGGGTAATGAATGTGATGTCAGATCATGGACAGGCGCGATGGAGACATCATTTAAGCTCTGTTGGCTTTGCCCTGGCCCTGTGCCTCCTACACGCCCCCCTTCCAACCCACCCTCGTCTGGGCCAAGCATGAGCTTGATCTCCAAGGACGGCTTCCCCCTGCCGTGCTCTCAAACCTCAGTGAGGCGTCACTACGGTGACAGAGCAGAACAGCGGTCGTGCAGGCCTGTCGCTCTGTTTACCGAGGTTGTGAGAGAGGGGGGATGGAGAGACAGGGAGAATTTCATAAAGTTGTATGAATGAAAGACGTGGGGAGGTGGTGCAGATAGAGGAGATGGCACACTTGTGGAGAGAGTGGGGGTGGGGGTGGAGATGGAGTGCAGTCGGGAAAAGGGTGAAGTTAGTGGACAGTGAGCAGACTGGCCACAGGGCACATCACTGCACAACCCACAAACCTCCTATGACAGGGCATGGAAGGTGGTACACACACACATACACACTCGAATACACGCTTACAGTACATGCACTTATTGCCCGTGAAGAAAGTCTTACACATGCACTGTCGCTCCCTCACACACATTCAGCAGCCTCCAGCACTTAACACCAGCTGCTTTATTGCTCACTGACATTTTCTCCGCTTTCTGTCTTTCTGTCTCGGTTTTCCTCGCTGCTTAGCGCACACACTCTCTTTATCACACACACACACAGGCAATGGCAGAAATATTCACACACAAACAACATATACATAATCCCTTCACACACAAAATATGATTTGTATTGCCCGGCCAGGATGGCGTAGCTCAATTCAAATTGCTTTCGTTCAGCAATGCAAGACATTAGACAAGCCTGCGTACACGTACAAGCACTGTACATTCAGTATTTAGGTTGTAACTTGACTTGAAACTTGAGAATGAAAAGGTATGACTGACATTTCAAAAAGCATTTACTTCTGTGTACCATCTTCTCTTTCTTAACTCGGCTCTAACTCGTCCTCCTTCTGTCTCCAGAGCCACTGCGGGTCACCCTGTCTCCCAAGAACCTGAAGACAGGGATCAGCAGCACGGTCATCCTATCCTGTGCCGTCCAGGGTTCCCCCCACTTTATCGTGTCCTGGTACCGTAACACTGAACCTGTCCTGCCCGATCAGCACTTTTCCATCCAGGGGGCTCACAATGAGACATTATTCATTTCCGCTGCACAAAAGAGACACTCGGGAGCTTACCAATGCTTTGCCACGCGGAAGGGCCAGACTGCCCAGGACTTCTCCATCATACTTCTGGAAGGTGAGGAAACAAAAAGCAACTACCATGTTGGTGTACGATCATGAATGTTACAATGATTAGGTGTTTCTTTGTATGCCTAATTAGACAATAATTACACATGGTTTACGTATTTATATCCACCAAAAATGCTGGAGAAAAAGTTATGTTATTATGATACTTCATATATCTGTTATCTGTTTGCACTTTGTCTGTAATTCCACAAAATATAGTGGAGAGGATGTTAATGAGACAAGACAGAACTGACTGACCTCCATCAATTTATTGAGTAATAAATAGGCAGATATGATATAATTAATTCGATCTAGTTTGATCTTGTTAATGATTTGCAATTTATTTTGAGTAAATGCATTTCATGAAAACATATATGCACACATATATCTTCAAATGGTTCTAGCACACAAAAAGATTGTTTTTTTTCATTCAGTGCCTTACAGTAAAAAAATGTGTTCATGTGCTTCCACTTTGCAGAGTGTTTTAGTCTTTTGTCTTATCTTCCCACCATAATGCAGATTTGAATCCAGTGCTTACTGTAGCTAATATTTGTTTCTACATTCTCACCTCACATCTCTTTGTCATGTGATTGTTTCTCAGATGGCACACCCCGTATCGTTGCTTCCTTCAGTGAGCGGGTGGTGGTTCCGGGTGAACCCTTTTCCCTGATGTGTGCTGCCAAAGGAGCTCCTCCTCCCACCATCACCTGGACCCTGGACGATGAGCCTGTCGCCCGGGACCTTTCTCGTGTCAGAGCCAGCCAGTACACGCTCTCCGATGGCAGCACTGTGAGCCACGTCAACGTCAGCAGCCCGCAGATTCGCGATGGAGGAGTGTATCGGTGCGCCGCACGAAACTCGGCCGGTAGTGCCGAGTACCAAGCGCGCATAAACGTAAGAGGTGCCTGTCTACTTTTCAATATCAGTCATACAGAGGCTTCTCATAGCCTGACCCCTACCCCTACCCTGACCCATATCCTGTACCCTTCTATATCTCTACCTCTATGTACTGCATACTACTTTTTCTCTTGTTTGTTTTTTATTTTTCGTTCTGTCTGTCAACACCTATATGATTATTATCTGCAGCTTGTGCAGCTGTTTTGTTCCTCCACCAGCCCATATAGTGTATCTTGTCTGGCTTTCTCTTTTCTGTGTCCTCAAGGTTGCTGTCCTGTTGTCTCACTTACTGTAGCTCTGCACATGTGCTTGTGTGAATGCACACATACATATGAACAAAAAAAACAAAAAAAACAACTACACCTGCTAATCCACCTACTGTAGCTATCCGAATGTAAACTCACATGCACACACACAGCTACGTTTGTAGCTTAACATATGGAGAGGAAGAGTGGCTAAAGGAGAGGAAGTGAGACAAATGGATGAAGAAACTTTAGAAAAGAAAGAAACAGATGGCCAGAGACAAAGGGAAGAGAGAGAAATAAGAGAAGAGGAATGATGAGGAGAGGAGTGCTAGTGTCTGTTGGGAGAGTGATGGTGAACTCTGGTGACAGGACTGGTGATTTCACTGTCGTCGGAGACAACAAGGATGATGAGTGACACCGATGGACAGGGCTGTATCTCTGTCTGCATGTCTCTGTCTCTCTCTCTCTCTCTCTCTCTCTCTGTCTCTCTCTCTCTGTGTCCTTTGGTGAGATGTGTAGTTGTGACATGTGAGTCTGCTCTAAGGAGACATGCCAGAATGATCATTGGAGTGAGAATGAGCACCGTTGCCAGAGAGCTTCAGCCCCACATGCAGCACAAACTGACACAAATACAGCCGATACACACACATGGACACACACATGCATAATGACACATGAAAAGGCAGCAACACACTAGTATGCTTATCCACTCACTGAAATGTGATACACTCAACTTATCCCATTCAGTGAGGGGCCGACAGCAAGGGTACTGAACCACCTAGACATAGTTGAACACACATACACGTGTATACTGTATATGTGTTTGTGTGTGGCTGTGTGTGTGTGTGTGTGTCTGTGCAACGGCGCTACTGAATAATACATCTTTCACTCGTCAGAACTTCAAAGCTCAGCACACGCTGAGAAAGGGAGGAGAGTGAAAGAGAGAGAGAAGTGAGGGTAGGAGGGCTGGAAGGAGAGACAAAAACAAAGATACAAGATGAACAATGGTGAGATGGTCGAAGAAGAAGTGACGGACGATTGAATGATAGCTCCCAGTTTCTTCCAGTAATGTTAAACACATTTCGTGTCTGTCTAACTGTCTGTCTGCCTGCCTGCCTACAGCCTTCAGTCTATTTTTTGGCAATGATACATGACCAACATATTGAAGCAGTTAGGCTTTATTTTTGTTATATTTTTGTATTTTTTAGGACATAATTCATATTCATTTTGTTCCAGTTAGGCTACAAATTATGTGTTGTGGTTACTATTGCTCAGTCTCTCTGCCATTCAAAATACTATAGCCTATTTAGTGAGTGTTCTGATCTCAAATTTTCACATGTTCATCACTTATAGCACAAATAAATCAATGCATTTACTACTCTATGCAACCATGGAAAATGCACGGCACTTATGGACATAAACAATTCATGATTAGGTTGTTTAAGCCAATGACTTCTGCATTAGAGGGCAACAACCGAACCAGGATCCTGCAGGTCCTGCAGCACCTGACACAAATGTGGCAGGTACATCAGCATTAATGGAAATTAATATATGAAAATATGACACTCTGATATGCATCTTCCAGTAAACGGAAACGGCATTTAAATAAAGTACAAAATAAAGTATCAATTTAGTTTTCTCATCTTTTTCACCCACTCACTTTCCCTCTCTGTTACTCTCTCTTTTTTCGACTTGTCAGTTACATTAAATGTTGGTTTGTTTGAATGTCAGTAACATTAAATAAAATTGGATCGCTAATCCAATCTGACCTGTAAACAAAAACACTATTGCTGCTGCTGCTCTGAAGTCCTGTATTACTGTGTTTGGTTTGCATTTACTATGGGAAACAATGTATCTACCTATCTAAGTATCAGAGAAACAGGGGCATGATCCATAACATTTTCATCCCCTTTTTGTTTCCCCTGCCTAAAGCTGAAACTTTTTACTTTTAAAGGCATTGGATAAGGCTTATTTTTAGTTCATATGATATTAAGGTAGCTTCATAAACAGCTGAGTAACTGTATTTGTCTAGACCTAAAAATCCATAATGACCTATATGTGTCTGGGTTGAGCTGAACAGATTTTCAACAGAAAACATTTAACAGGTGGGTGGGCAGAAGTGGGATGGCGCATCTCAGAAGTAATGGTTTAGAAAGTGCAGGAATGCGCTCTTCCAGAAAAACAAATTTTTTACATAAAGGCAAAACTTTCTAACCTCTCTCTCTTCTTACACCCCTACATGCTTTTTTCCTCTCCTGTCCCTTCCCTTCTCCCCAACTCCCTTCCCTATCACCCCTCCCCTTTATTCCTAAAATTCCACTACGTGTGTCTGACGCCATCAACTAATGATCTTCTTTTCCCCTTTCTTTTCTTTCTCTCCATCTCTCTCTGTCTGCCCATCAGGTCCTCCGAAGATTCGGCCTATGAAGAACATCACTGCGGTGGCAGGAAGAAACACTTTCATAAACTGCCGTGTGATTGGGTACCCTTATTACTCAATCAACTGGTACAAAGAGGGGCTTCTCCTGCCTGACAACCATCGCCAGGTGGAGTTCACTTTCTGGATTTCGGCTAAAAGACAATAAAAATATATCAGAACTTATTCCCATACAGCACTGTATAACACAAATATACAGTCAGTATGTAGACACATAAATCCTATCCTAAGCAGATACATCTTGTATAGAGTATTGTTTGAAGGCACATTCTGTACTTCTTTTACCATAAAAATTAAAAATTTTCAACTGATCACGTGGCCTTTTCATAGCTTTATAAGTATAAGTATAAGTATATAAATATCTATCAAAAAAACATTTTCTATGTCTATTGTTGGTCTGTGTCCTAAAACACATGTGAGCCAATCTGGGAACAGTAACAGTGCAATCTTTTTGTATCACAGATGCAGATTTTTAGAATTTATGAATTTTTTTATTTTTTATGAAACATTTCACTTGTGATAAATTCTCGTAAAACAGGCTATGAGATGTTTGTGCTCTCATGTCTATATAGCGGAAGTTCAAGCAAGCATTTGACAAGGAAGAAAAGTTTCACTTTCAGCTAAACAGCGGTAACGACCACAGTGTTCTGCAATCCCCGTCAGACACTTTTAATTTTTATTTATTTATTGCATTACTCTATGTTTTGTCCTTTTTGATTCATCAGTAAAGAAACAAATGAAGACACAAAGCAAATCAGGGGGACTTCTTTATGCATCAGTGTCGGCCATGTTTTGATCTTAGCATCATTTCAGTTGAATTCATAGCTCTGTGTATGAATGCCAAACATGTACCATCTCTGAATGCAACACTGCTGATGTCTGGTCAGGTGGTGTACGAGAACGGGACTCTGAAGCTCAGCGATGTACAGAAGGGGATGGACGAGGGGGCCTATGTCTGCAGCGTGCTCATCCAACCCCAGCTGTTCATCACGCAGACTGTCTATGTCACTGTCAAAGGTCAGTTACAGGGTGGATCCGTTTGAAAACAAAATAACTTTGTGGAAGGTTTTTATTTATGGCTAGGGTTTGGACAGTCGCATAGATGTCTCTTAAAACATACATAGCACAATAGCACGCTTTTTCTTATTTGGTGTGTGGTGTAAATGATAGGCTACATGTATATACTTATATGTTTGTTTGGGATTTTCCCAAAGAGGTGAATACACTGTAAGTAAAATCATATATGGAATTGTGATTCACAAGAGTCTAGCTTTGTTTTAGTGTGTTAACTTAGAAAAAAATTCTGAATGTAAAAGAGGGTGATTGTAAGAGGGATGGAGCGTAAGTAAGATTGGTTTATAGCAGGAGGATGTGAGTGAAACAAGGGAGAGGAAAGAAGAAAGCTGTATGCATTGCCTCTAATAACCCCTGATTAAGAGGCGGAGTGGCCTAGTGCGCTCTCTCAACCACTCAGCAATTACATGGAGCAGGAGTGCTATTGTATAAGATGTGTGTGTGCAACCTGTATGCATGTATAGATGTGTGTGAATGATGAAGTGTGTGTGTGTTGTGCTGTATGTATTTTGCATGTGACCTTGTATGTTATTTCGCTCAGCTCTCCGCAGCGATAGCATGACATGTTTGTTTTAGGAAGTTGTCGTGTGTGAATGTGGGTTGTGTGTGTTTCGACTTGACATTAGCAGATGTGTGAAATTTGTGGTGGTCTCGTGTGTGGTCGCAGTGTTTGTGTGCACATGCGTGTGTGTGTATGTGCATTTACTGCATGTGGGTGTAGGTATGTGCTTGTATGAATGTGTGCTCGTCATGTCTCTGATTTAATTAGATGAATTTTAACGAGGCCCAGATTAAATCCCCCAGATGTCTCAGCTGTACACCCCCCCACCCCCAGCCCAACCACCACCATCCTCCCCTCCTTCCCCACTCCAAACCACCGCCATCACCACCGCCGCTCTCCATAGCAACACCGTTCTTCCCCCTGCGGATGGGGCTCTAATTAGAGCAGCTATTATGGGCTGGCTTTAGCAGGGCAGGGTGGGGTGGAGTGGAGGGGTTGGTAGGGGGGCACAGGCGGCTGCAGAGTGGGTAGTGGGCTAGTAGGCCAGGCTGTGGGGGTGTGGAAGCTTTTGGCTGTCCAGGCTTAGATGACAGACTGCAGAAATCAGACAGACCACTAGTTTACCAATCAGCCAGTCAGGTGAAAATGAAAAAAATAATCTATGTTTTTTTTTTTCTCCCTTCTCTGTATCTTTCTCACCCCACCTGTACTCCCTTAACATCACTCACTTTCCACTGCATGTCCTTTCGATGCCCCCGAATCATCAAATCTCTGTGTCTACCCATATTCTCCCTGTCTTCACATCTGAATTTCTCTCTTTTCTCTATCTTTCACTTATTCATATCTGCCTCAAATCTCTGTCTTCACCTCTTACTCACCCCACTCATTTAAACAACCCTCTAACTGTTTTCATTCATCTTTTTTTCTTTATTTCCATTCCCTCTTTGCCTTATACTGTCTTCTCTCTATCTACCCTTTATTTCACCCTGTTGCCTGTCCTTGCCCTTTTCTCTCCCCTGCTCTTCTTTTTGTCATATATTTCCTCGGTTTGATCTGTCTATTCTATCTCTTTTACTTCTTTTAATTTCCCTTCAATTACGTTGCCTCTACTACATTTCTATGTACTCTCCCTACACTATCACTCTCCTTCCTTTTTCTCTTTTGCTTACTCTTTCATCCTCCCCTCTTCTACCTCTCTCAGTTCCTCCACTGATCCAGCCATTTGACTTTCCACCGACTTCCATCGGTAAATTGATGTACATCGCCTGCGTGGTGTCGTCTGGAGACATGCCCATACGCATCACGTGGCGCAAGGACGGGCAGGAGATTGTGCCCTCCTCGGGCATCACCATCGACACCAAGGAATTCATGAGCTCCCTCCAGATATCCAAGGTGTCGCTCAAACACAATGGCAACTACACTTGTATTGCCAGCAATGATGCTGCCACTGTCAGCACAGAAAGGCAGCTCACAGTTACAGGTAAGGAAGGTGGAGAAAGCTAGAGAAGATAGAGAATATGAAAGTGATATTTATCAAGGATTGAAGGGGGGTTATTCTAAAAGAGCACTGCAGTGATTTAATATTGCACTTAAATACAGTTGGGTGACTTGGGAGATGTAAAAAGTAGTCAAAATTGAAGCAGCTCTTTTAGCTCTTTTAGTCTTTGTTATGGGTTACATTGCAAAAACACAGGCTTCTTTACTCCCTATAATACAACTCAATAGCACCGTTCACTAGACACTCCCTGAATAAAAACCCAAATATTTCAAACTCCAGCTTGTAACACAAGCTTCTGTTTTCTCAGACTTTCGGAGCTTCAGACTACAAAACTGTGTCGTACTTCCTGTGAATAGTACATTGACTTTGACATGTAAACTAAAATTGAAGGTACATTTTTTGAAGTATTGTACCTAAGAACAATTTTGAGGCATTTTTTAGTATTTCAATTGTATGGCACGATATACTTCGCCTCCTATGGGCTGATATTTGTGCCAGTGCCAAAATAATAAAAATGTGTTAATGGAGGGATAAAAGTCAGGGGTTGGGAAAACCGTAGTTTTGCCCAATATTTCTGATGGAACTGGGGTGTTAACCTTTCCCTGTCTGCTCCCAGACGTAGTCGGAAGCACAGGTAAGAGTTTCAAACCAGGGGCCGGAAGCTGAGCTAACTTCGGGGCTTAACCCCCTTCACTTTTATTTTCTAGCAGTGGCAACAATTCAACGGACGCATGCGTCCACTTTGTTCGGGGGGTTGGGAGGAAGCGAACGGCGGCCTTATTCGCCGGAACTGGACCCCCCCGGTCACAAGGTATATGCATTTATTGCTAAACTCTAATTTACTTTCGGCTAAACCAGCTCTCTCGCCGGCTAGTGCCATTCACCGTGCGCTCTCTCCGCCGTCGGTACCACACACGTTACACACGTTAGCGCTTCGCACATGCGCACTTGGCTCTACCCCTTTAAGGGAGCTACCGTACTCTTAATAACAATGGGCTTCTTTATCCAGTGGAAGTCGGCCCTCTGCTTGGCTGTTGGGAAAGAATGCAGGCTTACTCTGGCAATCGGATTGCTGCTTCCCTTAAGGATGGACCCGTCTGTGACCTGTAAAAGTGAATCTTGTGGATGAAAATTGAATTTTAGAGAAACTGATTATGTAATTTGGGAGAACTTAAAGTGAAAAGACATGAAAGTATCATAAAAAGTGAATTTTTAGTGAGCTCAGAATACAGTTCAGTTGCAAGTGAATTCAGAAAAAAAAAAAAACATAAGATAAATAAATATAATAAACAAAAAGTTATCAAGAATATTTATTGGAATTCAGTTTCAAAAACTAATAAATTAAAAAATATCAAAAATATATATGCAAATATACAGAAATGATAAAAGATATAAATATAAAAAAAAAAAAAAAAAAAAAAAAAACAAATATAGATAATGAAAATATAAATAAAATAATAATAAATATAAAAATTACAGATAATATTAAAAAAATAGAACACCAATAAATCAGCCCAATAACAACTACAAAAAAAACAATAAAAAAAAAATAAAATATAAAATAATATAATATGAACAAGACATAAATAGATATAAAGAATAATAGATATTAAAAATATAGGAATAATAATTAGAAAAATACATACAGAATAATATAGAAGAATAGAATAAAAAAAAAACACAGTAGAAATACATTAACATAATTTATATATAGAAAATAACATAAAACAATAGAGAGTAAGAGAAGAGAAATACAAGAGAGAAAATACAGAATATAATAAATATAGATAAATAAATAAACAAACATCAGACATATAATAGAGAAATATGATGCAAAAGATAATCAAATATAATATAGAATGAAATGATATGAAGTAATAGAGATATATATATAAAAAAAAAAAAAAAAAAAAAAAAAAAAAAAAAAAAAAAAAAAACATATAGATATAAGATATAAAAGAAAAAATATACAACAGAATATATATAAATAAATAAATAAATAAAAATTAAGTGATAAAAAAGACATAGAACAAATATATTTATAATGTATAGAAAAAATAGTATAATTAAGATAACTAAGATTTAAATAGTTTGACATAAGAAAAATACTTATATATAACATAAGAGCATAGCAGAAAAAACAATATAAAAATAATAGATAATACAAAGATATAAAAAAACAAAACAAAAATGATTTAGATACAATATTTAGAACAATAAATATTAGCTATAATAATAACAAATAGCAGATAGCAAATCCATCGGATAGTGTAGTATGCAGAACCCAACAAACCAGAGATGGGGATCTATTGGGAAGGGCAGAATCCTAAAACTGTTCATGTTGATGGATACCCCCCCTCACCCATAAGTCAATAGTGGAAAGCATACAAAGGGAGCATTTTCGGAAAGCGACGTAGGGTGACTATGAGCCCATCTTTCATTCTTAGTATAACATATAAGTACGTAGTGAAATGCATGCTCGTGTGCGGGTATTCTCATGCCATTTGTCATGAGTTGTACGGTAGACCTCAAATACTGAACCCATGTAAGTAATGTTGAGTGTAAGAATGGTAGGGGATCGTCAGTTAGCGGGGTGTACAAATTACATACATATAAATCTCTGCTTTCTCTGTCTGTCCAGGCGGGTATTGGGGAACCGCGCAGCAGTTACCACCCTGTGCGCTCTGACGGGCCGGTGATCGCAAGATGATGAAATAACGGCTCGTCTAAACTCATTAGACATGGTCCTCGGAAAACCCAGCAGAGGAGTCGTTGGCTTTCATAGGACCTCTGTCAGGCGCAAATGGGTGGTGCAGAGGCATCACGACAAAGAAGGGCGGAGTGGTGGTGGCGCGGTGCGAGGCGGCGTTAGGAAGAGTGAGAGAATATAACGAGAAGAAGCAAACATGAAGGAGGACTAATAAGAGACGAGAGTTGTTGCAGTAAGAAGTAGATGAGCGTGCAGGAGGGACCCATCTAGGAGTGCTCGCATGTCCTGCTGTAGTCGGAGTCGTTAATGCGAGCGAGCGGACGAGCGAGCTGAAGACTGGTGTCGGAAGAGGAGAGTAGGGCCATGCAGGCAGCGCTCCTTGCTCTGGTAGTAGTGGCAATGAGAACAGTACGAGGCAGTGGTACGTGGGCGGCAGCTGGAGAAGTTGGTGGAGCAGAGAGGAAAGGCCGGATGGGAGTGATAGAGAGACAAGAAACAATGAAAGATCGTGAAGAGAAAAGGTGTGGGTGTTGAGCGCATCTGTGATAAGACAGGTGGAGAAAAGCAAAACTACTGCAGGCAATTTGGATCTTGTTGAGCGTCTGTGGATCGTGGTCTATAGGCAGTTCAAGAAACACGGGTTTGGAGGCTCAATCATTATGCGGAAGTCGAGATGTCTCTCCGATCGCGCCGCGGCGCTGTCAAGTAAGACGCTGTGGAAAGCAATGTGAAAAGTGGCATCGGAAGAATTGATAGCAGTGAGCCCAACAGCGGCGAGCCAGGTCGAAGATCCAGAGATAGGGACAATAGTAAAGTAAGACAGCATGCAGATACCAGAACACTATACGCAAAATACAGGGCTAGAACCCTCCTTACGAAAAGAGATAGTTCACCGCCGCCCGCCCCCCCCCCCACCTTTTCTTGGCGTCCTGTTTGAAGAAACACAGACACGATGACTAACGCAGGTGCACCGTAAAGGTACAACTGGGCTAGTTTACCAGTGTGTCTGGCTATCCATGCAAGAGGCGGCGCTAGGGTCTCGTCACCTCCTCTCTCGGCGGTCTCTGCTCTCGCTCTACCTGTCTGGGTGGTTCAGTGTTATGTCGGATTGGAAACCCGTTCCCTGCGATCCTGCATGCCCCTCGGGGGCCTCGATTCGTGCTCTGTTAATACGCCTGCAACCGGGGACGATGGAGAGGAAAAGAGAGAGGAAAAGAGGAGGTGAGATGAATAAGTGATGGAAAACAAAACAGCAAACCCTCCTGCCGATCGGGTGTGGGTGTGTGGGTGTGTGTGTGGTGTGGTGTGTGTGTGTGTGTGTGCTCGCTCGTGATGTGTGTGGCCCAGGGAGAAGGATTGAGTGTTTT